CCCAAATCCCCTCCCAACCCCCACAAACAGCCTCCCCCCATCCCCTCTTACCTTGTAGGCTCTGATGAAGCGCATGAACATGGGGAAGAAGGTGGTGGGGGGACTGGTCTTGGGGTTCTCCCCGAAATACTCCACAGCCGACTCATACGCCTCCTGCGGGCAGAGACACCCCAATCTGGGGGGCGGGGGACAGGCAGCAGCACCCCATCACTCACCACCTCCTTCCAGCCTCTCCCACTTCAGCATCCCCCTCCAGATCCTCCTGGCTTTCCTGCTGGAACCACCTCCCAACCAGGAGCCCCTTCCATGGGGCAGAGGTGCGAGCAGAGGACACCCCAGGGTGTCCCCACACAAGAATAGAGGGGCCCAATCCTGCCCCACGCTACCCTCAGCACCCACCTTGGCGGTTTTGCTGTCAGCCTGCAGCTTCTCCATCACCTCTGAGTTGACCTTGAGGAAGTCCTTGAGCACCGGGCTGTCGTCCTGCCGCATGAACTCCTTGCGGGTCAGCTCCATCCCCTGCTGCAGGCTCCGCACGTCCTGCAGGACACTGTCCAGGGAGACTGCGGGGAGGGTGAGCAGCGCAGGGGTCAGGCTCAGAGAGACCCCACCCTGGGGCTGCAACCTGCAGTGACCCCCCCAGCCCCGTGCCCCAAGGTGGGTGCTACCTGTGCCTGCCTTGTCCAGGAAGTGCAGCTCGGTGTGGAAGCCCGTCAGCTCGGGGTACTTCTCCATGATCACCCGCACCAGGTAGTGCAGCAGCGTTTGCTTGCGGTCTGTTGACTTCATCTCCAGCAGCTGGGAGAGAGCAGTGTCAGCCCTGACCTGCATCCCACCACCCCACGTCTCCCCTGCTCAGGGCAGGCTTTGGTGGCCCTCCATCCCCACGTCCAGTTCTGCATCATTCCATCCCTGTGGCTGGTTCTGCATCCCCACAGCTGGTCCCTGCATCCCTCCATCTCTCCATATCTGGTCCCTGCATCCTTCCAAGCCCATAGTCCTTGTGTATCTATAGATGGTCTCTTCATCTCTCCATTCCCACAGCTGGTTCCCATCTTCCTCCATCCTCATGGCTGGTTCTCCATCCCTCCATACCCAGTTGGTTCCCATCTTCCTCCATCCCCACAGCTGGTCCTTACATCCCTCCATCTCTCCACATCTGGTCTCTGCATCCTTCCACCCCACGGCAGTTCTTGTGTATCTCCATCCCTTCACCTCCTCCCCATGCCACCCCAAGCCCTATAGCTGCTCCCTGCGTTCCTCCCTCCCCACAGCTGAATCCCGTGTCCCTCCATCTCTACAGCCCATGTCCCTCTGTCCCCAAGGCTGGTCCCTGGGCAGTGACAGTGTCCCCATGCACCGGGAAGCCCCACGCCGACCCTACCGCGTCCAGGCTCTGCAGGCGGAAGCCGTAGGCTGCCCCCCGCTTGCTGCTGTTCATGTAGTTCCCGAAGGCCAGGACGATCTGTGGGGACACAACAGCTCGGGGACACAACCCAGCACAGATGGGACACCCCAGGGTGGGGGCACGGTGCCCACACACCCCCTGTGTGCACCCATCCCAGCCTGATGTCCACCCATCAGGGCCACCACACCCCAATCTGCTCACCTCCAGGATGTTGCGCAGTTTGCTGGAGGACTTGAGGGACATGGAGGCGGCGATGATGGCGTTGAGTTGCTGCAGGTGGGAGGAGAAGCGTGTGAGTCTCGCTGCCAGGTGCCACCCTCTCACACGCCACCCACGGCCACCCCGTGTCCCCACAACACCCACGGGCATGAGCAGCTGGGCCGTGTCGTTGAAGTTGCCCAGGAAGATCATGACGTTCATGCGCTCGGCCAGGCGCGGGATCTTGCTGAAGCGGATCATGAACTGATCCTCTTCCGAGAGCTCCTCCAGCGGCTGGGGGGGCCCCCCCCACCCGATGAGCGTCCGCTCGTACTCGGTGGGCAGGAAACGCAGCAGCAGCTCCAGGAAGTCAAGGCTCAAGGTTTGCTGGTCATACCTGCGGGTGGTAGGAAACCCCCAGCGCTGTCAGACCCTGCAGCAGGTCCCTCAACACCTCCCATCACCCATGGCTGGTGAACATCTTCCCTCCATCCCCACAGCTGGTCCCCACATCCTTCCATCTCTCCATATCTGGTCGCTGTGTCACTCCATCCCCATGGTTGGTTCCCATCTTCCCTCCATCCCATGGCTGGTCCCCACATCCCTCTGTCTCTCCATATCTGGTCCCTGTGTCCCTCCATCCTCACAGCTTGGCACCATCACTCCTCCAACCCCAACACACCCTGTGCCATCTCAACCCCTCGGCGTAGCCAGGCTCATACTCGACCTTCTCCTGACTTTCTCCCATCAAGATGGGGACACTCACGTCTCGATGGCCGTGCAGATGTCCTGGATGCTGCGGCCGCCCTTGCGGAGGGTGATGGCCAGGTTCTTGGCTCGGTTGGACTCCATGAGAGTGACCTTGCTGGGAGCCTTCTGTGTGGCCTTGGCCTTGAGGGTGCTGATGTCCAAGCCGGGGCCCTGCGCCTTGGTCTTGAACTGCTCCTCAAAGTCACTCATGTCCAGCTCCTGCAGGGAGACAGGGCTGAGGGCACGGCAGGGAGGTGACGTAGGACATCGGGGATGAGGACGGGGACAGAAGGGGGAGAGGGGTGAGAGGATGAAGACAGAGCAAGGGGATGAGGTCCAGTTGAGGAGATGAGGATGGGGCAAGGGGACAAGGACAGGGACAGGACAAGGGGCAGGAGAAGTGGTAAGGAGGGGGTAAGGGGACCAGAGGATGAAGATGAAGGAGAAGACATGGACAGGATGCGAGGATGAGGATGCAGCGAGGGGACAAGGACAGGTTAAGGAGACAAGGAGTGACAGGAGAAGCATGGCAGATCCCATGTTGTCCCTCCCCATGGCACCAAGGAGCTGCTGCGACCTCCAGCTCCTCCAGCAGCCACATGTCACCACAGATGGGTGCAAGGTGGGCACGGGGGCAACCTCAGCAGGGGTGCAGCGTGGACTGGGGCACTGGCCCAACCAAGGACCCTGCCCTTGGACCCCGCCGTGTCCTCACCTGCAGCACCTTCTCGTCGTTGAGCTCGGTGAAGACGGTGCCATCGATCTGGCTCGGCTTCAGTGCCACCCAGTTGAAGACGGGCATGCGGAACTTGGTCTGGATTGGCTTCTTCACCTTCACTGGGGTGATGGGGAAGGGGGGGACATGTCATGGGGTCCCAAACCCACCCCAGGGTGCCCCCAACCCTCTCCCAGGGGATGTCCCCACCACCCCTGG